GGGAAGACACATTATCCGTGTCATTATTAAACAACTACATAGTCAAAACTGAAAGCCCTCTTCATTGAAGAGTGACTGTCATAGAAAAGTTTAAGAACAGACCTCTTAAACAGGAGAAAATTATACTAAATATACTTTTAACAGCAGATAGTTTAGAGTTCTTGAAATAACTTTATAAATACATATTATCGTAATAGAGATAAAGCAAAAAAATTTCAAGCCATGGTACCAGTGTATAAACTTAAAATTTTCAAGTCATCCTAGCTTGCTTAAGTGTGCAAAACCACATTTCTGAACTCTGAAGTTGTGTTTTAAAATGCAAAGCAGCCCAAAGCAAGTTGTCTCTTGTTCAGGTGCTCTGCCTGAAGGCCAGCAAGCTTCTGCTTCTTTCCTGGGTACAGTCAGGCCCAGCTGACAAGAGGCCTCCTCGGAGGGCAACTCACTGTCGAGGTGGAACTTCCCAGGGAACAAATACTGTGAAGCCCATCAATCTGCTGAAGATTTCAGATCTTCAGAGATATCACGGAAAGTCCTAAAAGAACAAAAGACATGTGATTAGTTTTGTATTGGGAGCAGGGGAAGAGAAGGGGCAATAAAGCACAGAGAGAGTCAGGAAAGAGGGAGAGTGGAAAGGGCAAGAATGTACTATTAACATACAAATTTTTACTATCTTTGAGAGCTTGAAGAGATTATACGGTCACTATTTTCTTACCCAAGTCTGCTAGTTGCCTCTCATTCTTTAGTAGCAAGAATCCCAGCTTTTTGCTGAGTCCATTATCTCCCATGCAAGACTACATGCCAGCTACTTTGAAACCATACTTGAGCATGTAACTAAGTGCTGGCTAAGGAGATTTAAGTAGAAGCATTGTGCAACTTCAGGGCAACTCCTTAAAGAGAAGGGCAATACTCCTTGTCTCTTCTGCCTTATTACTGGCTAGAAAGTAGTTATGGTAATATGACAGAGAAAACCACTTGGATAAAAGTGAGTCCATAAGTTTTATTAACAAATCAGAAATGTTAACCAGCAGAGTCTAAACTGAAGAATGGGGGCCAGGGCAGCAGAAATGAAGTAGATAGGTCTTTTGCCAAATGACTTGTCCTGTTTCTGCCCCAGGTGAGACAAATTGCTAATTGGCAGGTAGTATCTTGACTGATGGGGCAGTCTGCTGCACACTACAAGGTGCCTAGCTCAGGCCAGAGGTAACTAACCTGTCTCCAAAACATAATTTTACATTCCTGAACTGCAATGTCATAGCCAGCTTAAAACTGAATTTGTAGTCAAGTAGACAACCCAGAATTTATCAATGACCATAAGTTCCAACATTCATCTTAAGGAAAAGAGCAATGCATCAGGGCTGGAGTACCTCAGGCTGGAGAAAGGGTGGGCCCAGGGCTTGGAGGAACAGTCATACTAGCCTTGAACTACCCACCCCTTGACTTATTTTATCCACATGAGAAATAAACTTCTTGACTTTACTCCACGATTGTTTGGAGTTCCAGATAGTGGGTTTGGGGTTTGTTTTTTGGTTATTTACAGCCAATCATATTTCAAGTGATAAAATGAAGGACAGTTTATTACCAATTCTTAAGTAAAAGTTAAATTGGGCCTGAGAAGGTGGCTCAGTGGTAGAGTGCTTGCCTTGCATGCATGAGGCCCTGGGTTCGATTCCTCAGCACTACAAAAGCAGAAAAAGTGGTAGAGCACTAGCCTCGAAGACAGAGCCCAGGACCAGAGTTCATGCCCCACGACCAACAAAAAACAAAAAAAAAAAACAAAAAAATGAAAGAATGCACAAATTATCTAAAATATTCTGAAACACTTTTTTCAAAATAATTTTCAAGTCTTCAAATTACATTAGTTTGTGGTCACATTACCACAGTATGTTGTACCTTATATGTTTTTTCTCATAGCTAAATATAGTACATTTTGTTTTCATATCAATAACAAATAATGGTAATGGTAAACAAATTGCTTATTTTTTTCATGAGAAATAGAATTAAAGCATAATATAAGGTAAGAGTTCTGAAACTTCAGAAAACACTTTATAGTGGCAAAAAACAAGATGGCAGAGTCTGGATTAGGTACAGGCTTACACACAGCAAAAGGTTAGATAGGACATTGACAAGTTAAAAGTCTAACCTTTTAGCACAATGTAGAAAGTACTCAAGGTCAAAAGGAACACAAGTACATTGTCCAAAAAGAAATGTACTCATTACCTGACTTATGTAACTATAATCTCTCTGTGCATCATCTTTGCAGTAGAATACAGATAAAATGTAACAGATTTCCTTCATAGGTGCTCAATTGTCTCAAAAGCTCCTTTGGAGATGGTATCCTAAGCCCCTTGTGTCTCTGCAAATGACTTGCACAGCTCTACTCTCCAGAGAACAACTCTAAGAATTAGATAGTTATTATCTATGGAATAAAACTGAAAAAGTATAAGCCTTTTCAAAGGTAGGACATTACTAAACTCACCTGTTTTAAAAAATATGCTGACTGGTTTAAGAATTGGAATGAATGTTGTTTTCTTAATTATCTTTATGTTCTGCGGAAAAAAAAAAATCCAAAATAAAGATGTGTGTGTGTGTTGCATGTGTGGAATATATATGTATGTATGTCTAGCTACCTACCATTTCTCAATAATAGCATCACTGACATTTTAGTATACTTGGAGATATTCTGCAGCCTACGAGGCCTTTATGCACCAGAGTTTTAATGTACCTAGACATGACCAAATATCTGGGGAGGGGGGGTGTGAGGGGAGGGAGGGGGAAGAATCAGCACTTCTATCACTGCCAAAACCATTTCCCTAGATATGCATTTATGTATTTTTCACAGGCTCATCCAAGTTTCCATTTTTACATCTGTTTACAATCTGGCCACAACCTCTCTCCAACAATATGAATTTCAGGTTGCACTCAATTCTGAAAGTTCTTGAAAAATTAATATAATCCATAACCCCAAATTGTCCAATCTACAAAGTATATTTTCTAACTTATCCTTTTACATCTTTTTAAACTTCTAAGGTACTTACAAGTTTCAGTCTATACTCATCTCCTCTAAATTATGAATGAATATTCTGCCCAGAGCAAAGATGCATGAAATAAGATTAACACTGTGGTTGACTGTAGTGAACTTGGTGACTGCTTTCTGTTGACAAGTAAGCTTAGCTGTAACTCTGAAATTCAAATCTACTGTTCAATATTGCTCTAGGCCAAGAAAGCCTGGAAATTTTTAGGGGAAAGAAAATAAAGTGAAACACACTTTAAAAAACCAGTTACTAAGAATTTTCCTTCTCATGCTATTTCTAGTTGCCTGGGTACCGTGGTGGTGGTGGTGATGGTGATATGTCAATGTGCATATAGGGGTAGGGAGGAGTTGAAACCTTCTGAAAACAAATTTCATGATCTAGAGGTACAGAAATGATTTGTTTCGGGTCTATTCAAGAAGCATAGCTCTAACTGGTCAGCAAGGCTCATAAAACACTCTGGATTTGGAAGAAACAAATAGATTATCACTGGTTCCAAAGTATTTAATGTCCTACAGAGTCCATTTAATTACAATATTTGTTCCCAAACCATAAAGATTATTATTATGGTACTAAGAGCTACAGGAGAACAAGAAGTATGGAATAGGACCATATGTATGGGGGGGGGGTCTGAAAAGAAGATCATTGTTCATATTTCTTACATCCTCAAAGATCAACAGGGATCTTCTATCCTTTGTTCCTTGAAAATGTCACGGGATCTGATTCCTCCAAAGTTACGAGACTTTTCCAAATTCATTTTATTCCCATCTCCTTCCTTTATGTGGATGTTTAAGTATTTTCTAATTTAACAATTTATGATTCATGGAGTCCCAGCTTCACAGAGATGCAAAGGAAATAGCAGACTAATTTAACTCACCTAGTTAGTTATGCACGGCTGAGCATGCATTTCTTAGCCTTGCACTGCACACAGGTATAAACTCTGGTGAGAGAGCACTTGCTATGACTGGCTAGGTATGTCTCTTCTTTCCAACAAGTTTAGAATGAAGTTCTAAGACTCAAACCTTTTATTAGCCTCAAGGGTATATTGCAAAATCTTATTTTTTTTTCACCTGACCCACTTTTGGTTTTCCTAAGCTATATACTCATCAGACTTTCTGTACACCAAACAGAGGGATGACACAGCAATACAAGTGAAACAAAGTTCCTAATTCCTGGGAGCTTCTCCATTAGTGGGAACAAAAGGAAACTAAACATGCACTGATAATATATATATATATATATATATATTTATATATATATTAGTTTGAACTGCAGAGTGTAACATTCTATGTGGATACTCAGAAAGGGCTGCTACTCCAGAGAGCTTCAGCAATGTTTCTCAGAAGAATATTTTCATTATATTCCACAAAACTAGTTTAAATTAGAAAGGGGGTGATAACTACAGAGTGGACAACTTGTGCAACAGTCACATTGTCTTCAGGGAATTAAACCATGTTCTGCTTTAAATCAACCAAAACCAATTCCTGGCAGAAATAAAATGCCAGGCAGGCAGTACAAAGACATGAATCTGGAGAAACAGACAGAAAGAAGGCATGGAATGGGCTAAAGCAAAGTTTCCAACTTTATCTTGAAGGTCATTCGAAGTCACTGTGGGAATTTTAAGCAGCAGGAGAACATAATATTTATGCTCCAGGACAACCAGAGAGGCTGCACTGTGGAGAATAGATTGGGGGAAGCAAGACTAAATAGGGGAGGAGCCAAGAAGAGAAGAAGCTGCTGAAGAAATCCCAGCATGGGTCATAGTACAGAGTATAAAGAGGGGCAGGGTCTGGAAGTGTTTAACAGAATTTTTAGTCCTACAGACAGTGAATCCATACACACCCTTCCGAAATCTCTCTCTCTCTCTCTTACCTTATACCATACACCCTCAAAGGACATGATATGCCATGGCTTCGTTACTAAGTTATTTATTTTTACAAAGAACATTTTTGATTAAACTCCAGCATTTAATTGTGAAATGTATTCAGTTAATTAAGGTAACCTTTCTAAAAACCAGCAATGAGTTACTAATAACTCAGAAAGAAAAGATGAGTTTCTCCAGGATCCCATTCCAGTTGTCACCTTCAGTGCTATCAAGTGTGAAAGAGAACAAAGGGAAGCATTACTTAGGAGAGGAGCCCTCGTGGAAGAGGGTATAGGATAGACTCTTGCTGCTTTCAGGTTGCCCTCAGCTTTTTTAAGAGTTTTCAGTAGGAGAAAAGTAAATATTCTCATATCATGTCTTCTTATCCTTACTCCCCCCAAAAATCTCTAAGATGGATAATTACAAGAATGTTTCTGCCCTTCCCCACAAAGAGTCCAAGTATAACAAAGAACCAAAAAGGTGAGAGTTACCATTACTGATTCAAGGCTAAGACAGTTTCAACCTCAAAGCTGTGCTTTATCTACAACAGTCACCACTGTCCAAATACTGGATCATCTCTCTCAACAGTCAGATGCAGAGAAAGGGCCCTCTACCCCAGTCTCTCCTATGGTGAATAAAGTTGCCCGTCTGGCTGAAGACAAATGGAGGACAAGGAAATAATCTAATAACCATGTTTTTTCAGCCTAAGGCCAGCAATTGCTTCTGTAATTAAGACGTGTCTGCCTAACGCAACACAAATATGCACTCCCTACTGTCACGGGACAACAACGTAAGAGTTCCTAGCACCAAGCAGTTTGGAAGCTCATGCCCCAGTACTACTCCCTCACAGCCCATTCATTCCTTCAAGTAGGTACAAGGACAAAACTGTGTCGACAGATTCAAGTAGGTACAAGGACATAACTGTGTGGACAGATGTTTTAGATACACATGTAACTAAAACAGACAGGGTCCCTGCAATAACAGCAACTACATTTAAGTAGGAAAGGAAAGACAGATGATCAAGTGTATAAATGAAAACTGGACTACAAAGGAAAAGTACAAGATGCAATCTATGACAGCATTAAAGTAGCATGAAGGATGAAACCAAATCTTGGGGGCAGGGGATAGGGCAAGCTTCTCTGGTGAACTGACATCTGAGCTGAGATTTGAAGAATGATTAGGAGTTAATTAAGACGGAAAGATAGGGGTGTCCAGAGAGAGAAAGAAGTATGTATAGAAGCCCAGAGGAGAATGAGTCTGGTGGCCCTGATAATCAGCTAGCATGGCTGCAGCTCAGACAGAAAAGCAAGACATGCTACAGGAAGGATGTGGCAGCATAGGCCAGTTCATACTTGGTGGCTCCTGTAGTCTCATCAAGGATGTTACCTTTCTCCAAAAATCAATGGGGCTATTTTTGCTAGGAGAGTGTCACAATCAGATAAGCTTGAATTCTGAGAAGCCCACATGAGCCTCAGGGTAGAGAATAGACTGGACAACAGAGGGAGAAGGGGTTGAGGGACAGCCAGAAGACTCGGGTGACTACAACAGTCCCATGAGAAGTGCCAGAGACTTGGCTGGCTCAGACCCAGGGTGGCACTGGCAGTAAACAAGCAAGGACAGCAGTGAGGTCAAACTGGCAGCACTGAATAAAGATGGTGAACGAGGACTTGGGAAGTAACAAGGACAGCCAGACTGGCACAGTAAGCAGGAGGAATGCTGAAGAAGATGATTTTCTCTGGGTGGAGAGTTCAAAGACAAAAACAGAGAAAGAACATTAGATGAAACACATGAGCCTGTGAGCTTTTTAGTTATGTGATTATGGGCAAGATGGCTAAGCCTCCATTTTCTCATGTAAACACCAGGGGAAACAACAGTTCCCACCCTCCTGCAAAAATATTGGATAGATTAAGTAAAACAACACATGTAAAGTTTTATCATAAGACTTAGCATACAGTTACTCCCAATAAAGGTTAAAAGGGTTGTGTTTATTTAACTTAAGAGTTCATCTAAATCTTCCATTAAAGAGTGATGCACCGAACACACATTTCCTTTAGGCCCTTTGAAAACACCATTAGAATGCCAGTAAAAGTATTTTTAAAAAGCGTACGTACAAAGCTAGGAGAGGGTGGACCTGAAAAACAGGCAAGAGCAACAAACTTTTACACAGAGAATGTGGAGAGACAAATGCTATGATTTTGCCTATCTATAAAAGCTCAATCCTAAACCAAATGGTGAGAAAAGCCTAAACACAGTCTGATCTAGTCAGCAAAATTCCTAAGAAGTTTGGGAACTAGTGACAGGAAGTAAGTCTGAAAGTGGACTAAACAGAGGACTGCTTTTTACAGTCTGCTTGCAAAGCATAACACATCACCTTTCCCCTGCCTCATCACTTCTGCCAGATAAGCAGTGTCCCTTCTCCCCACTGTGGCAGAAAACTAGTCTTCTCTCTAGAGAAGGTGAAAGCAAAACTCTCTGGACTAGGGAACAGCAACAGGAGATTGGGGGAGGGGAGGGGAGGGCACGTCGAGACAGGCTGATACAGGAAGGGCAAGGGAACATTTATATATGTTGTATATGATCAGCCCCATCCCTCTCCCTCCTGGGTCCCTGATAACAGCACCCAGGTTTTCAAGCTCTAGTCTGGAGATTAGGTCTTTTCTGTGAGCAACCTACCAGCCTCAAAGAGGACCAAACATTACTGACATCAGAACTACACGAAGCAATGGTCCTGACAGATTCTATTAGAGTTACACACAACCCACCTACAACTTCTGCATATCTTACTCTTTTTTTCCTTGGGGGGAGGGGGTCTGGTCGTGGGGTCTGAACTCTGGGCCTGGGCGCTGTCCCTCAGCTCTTCAGCTCAATCAAGGCTAGCGCTCTACCACTTGAGCCACAGCACCACTTCCAGCTTTTTATTTTCTGCTTATATGGTGCTGAGGAATCAAATCCAAGGCCTCAAGCATGCAAGGCAAGCGCTCTTCCACTGAGCCACCTTCCCAGCCCCATATCTTACTCTTAACAAGAGACAAGAACTAAAATTCTTCACCATCTGATTTCATAATTATGATAGTTCATGATTATTATTTTTGTTGTCCAAGACAGGTCATTGTCAAGCACTCACTCTACAACTTGAGCCACTACTCATGATTTTATGATGCTGTTAAATGGCATAGGAGAAAAGATTTTGTAGGTATAATAAACACTCCTGATGAATCAGTAGTGAGGCAAAAAAGGAGAGATTGTGTAAGGTAGGCCAAGTTCTTTATTTAAAAAAAAAGTAGAAATCAGATACAGAAATTAGAAAAATACATTTTCACTTTGAAGAGAAAAAAAAATCATGAACTGCTATGAAGGGAGGCATATGCTAGATGTGAGCCTCAGGTCTAAAATTAATTTTTATCAACAACAAGAGACTAACATCTTGACTGAAGCCTTTTCAGATCCTAATCAAAGGACCCAACTAAGTAGTACCTAAGTGATAGAGTGTTCAAGTGACAGAATGCCTGCTCAGCAAGTTCATGACCCTAAGTTCAAAATCCAGTATTGCCCCCCCAACAAAAAATAAAAGATGGAAGCAGCACACAAGAGGACTCAAAGATAAACATCATCTAACTCAGTACCGATCCACAGTATTCCACATTCCATAGAATGAAAAAGAAAAAAAAAAAAAGGCAGTGAAAGTTGGCTCATCTTTCAAGTAGGAACTCAAAAGATGACTTCTACTCATGATGATAACGCAGGCAATCCACATTGTATCAAGATATGAAGGTGAGTGCCAAAATATTTGTCAGATGAGTTTTCTCTTAGAAAAGGGAAAGGGAAAAAACTTATTTTTCACAGAAAATTTCCACAATGTAGAAACTTTGTATTTTTCAACCACAAGGCCCCCAAAAAGGGAAAGCTACATTGTTTCTCATATTATCTTTCCCCCACCCCCACACCACCTGATTATATGCCTCCAAACCTTCTTCCTTATTTTTGAGAGAGATTCTGGCTTTTTGCTGCAGCTGGCCAGATATAATCCTCCTATTTACACTTTCACTCAGCTGAGATGGCAAGTGTGTTATTATCAAGCCAGCTTTTTCTGTTAAGATGGGGGTCTTGCTAACTTCTTTTGCCCAGATTGGCCTTGAACATAATCTTCCAAATCTTCACCTCCGGGGCTGGGAAGTTGGCTCAGTGGTAGAGCACTTGCCTTGCATGCCTGAGGCCCTGGGTTCAATTCTTCAGCACCACATATACAAAAAGAAAAAAAAGCCAGAAGTGGTACTGTGGCTCAAGTGGTAGAGTGCTAGCCTTGAGCTGAAGAGCTGAGGGACAGCGCTCAGGCCCAGAATTCAGGACCCACAACCGGACCCCCCCCCAAAAAAAATTAAACCAAATCTTCACCTCCCAAATCGCTCAGATTATACAGATGAGCCACTGGTTTCTTTTATTTGGGGGGGGGGCGGAGGGAGGAGGGTCAGGCATGCATCTTGAACTCTGGGCCTGGGAGGCTAGTGTTCTACCACTTGAGCCAGAGCGCCACTTCCGGTTTTCATTGGAGGTAAGAGTCTCACGGGGGAAGGGGGAGGGGGAGAGTTCCACGGATTTTCCTGCTGGGGCTAGCTTTGAACCATGGTTCTCAGATGTCAGCTTCCTGAGTAGCTAGGATTACAGGCTTAAGCCACCAGCACCTGGCTTGAGCCACTGGTTTCTGACAAAAATTTCTAACTTCAAAGTCTATTCTTCCTAAAATAACAAAATATTAACTAATTTTGTCTTCTTATTTGGTAAGCCATGGAAAAAAGACATCGTTACCACACGTTCTCTATTGCTTTGAAATAACTGTCCTTTAGCTAATTAGGGACTCAACTACCTGCCTTTATCAAAGAGGGAAAGACAAAGTAGGCATAGTAACATACACCTATAATCCTAGCATTCAGAGCCAGCCTGGGCTGTATATACAGTAAGTTCAAGGACTTATGTGGTGAAATACTTCAAAGGCAAGAAAGAATATCCTAGTTCTACACCCTCCAAATGGCAGCTTTTCTCAAAATTACCTATGTTCTTCATCTGTTCTCAGAAACTATTTGACTTGTTCTAAGTTAAAAGATGTCTCTCTTTACAAACTGTATATCTAAAATAAGATAAGCAGTCATGTTTTTAATGAATTTTAGGCAAAAACATAAAGTAGTTTCATTAAATATCTGGGGAGAACTTGTCAAGGACTTCAATTTCACTGGAAAGGAAGGAACCTGGTGTTTTCTAACCTCTCTGATTTTTATGTTTTAAAGGTGTTAAGAATGGTTATTAGAAGAGAGAGCACATGGCTCATCTGCCTTCTTGGCTATCTTCCACCATTTCTTTTGTTTCAGAGTTTGGCCCAGGTTTAATAGTGAGGATTAGATGGTTTTCTGATTGGTGGCCTCCTTTCTGTTCCTACAAGGTTGTGGCCACCTGCCCCCATTTTGTTCTTGACAGGAAGGTTTGTTTATTCTGCCATGGGCCATAAATTCCCTGACCACCTGTTTTCAATTTTTCCATCCTTTTGTCCTTGTTCCACATGTCCTTGTCCCTTTTGCAGCCGCCTGTCCCCATGTCATTGTCAGGCAGGTTTTAGTTTATTAGTTTAACCTGCTGCCTACAAGTTGTCTAAGTCACAATTCCCTGTTTGCCTTTCTACTAACCCCGCATCACTGTTGCTAGAGATGGTCATGGTGTAACATAATACCCACTCTGAAGAGGTAACCCTAACTGCTGGTAAGGAACATGGGTGACAATACATCTTGCTACTTCCTGCTGATTTAAGGGTATCAATGCAGAAACAGCCTGTCTAGGGATCCTCTGAGGACTGATCTAGAAGGTCTCTATAAGACCAGGGCAGGGGGCAGGTGGTCCAGAGGCCAAATATCATATGATACTAAAACCACTTTTAAATTCATTTATGTTTAGTCTAATGGTAGTAATTAGAGTTTGAATTCAGGGGCCTATGCTTATTAGGTATGTACTCTATCACTGAGCTAAACCTGCAGCCCTTATTTATTTGTGGTCTTTCAAGACATTAACAGTTAGACTCGATACAATTTTAAATTTTTCCTGGTAAGAGTCTGTAAACAATTTCTATTTATTCAGTATCTTCTACACAGCATTAATAATCAAATATCACTATGATGACAAATCTAGATGAAGATATTTACATTAACAAACAGGGTATTACATACGGTTTATAATCATTCTGTTTGAACTCACCGCTGAGTCTGAGCAGACCACGGAGTCTGGTTTGGTGTGGGCACTGAATTTGTAGGACTAACTAGCATGGCACTGTAGATATTGGAAGCAACTACTAGTATGCAGAGAAGTATAGGCCCAATGATGGCTCCCTCCAGGCCTAGGTAGTATGCTCCTCCAGCCACTGCCAAGCCTGTCAGGTAAGGATGGCCACCTCTGGAATAAAAAGGACACTTTTAAATATAGTCACTAGAGAAAATCTGAAATAACTTTCTAATACACCGTGATCCCCAACCCCTCCCTCTCCCACCCACCCCAGTCCCATTATTGTCTTTTTTTTTGGTTGATATTGGTGCCTGAACTCTGGGCATGGCATGGATGCTGTCCCTCAGCTCTTCAGCTCAAGGCTAGCACTCTACCACTTGAGCCACAGTGCCACTTCCAGCTTTTTCTGCTTATGTGGTGCTGAGGAATCGAACCCAGGGCTTCATGCATGCAAGGCAAGCACTCTACCACTGAGCCACCTTCCAAGCCTTTATCTTTCTTTAGATTACCTCAGTACAGATGACAAAATATTCTAATAATTTTGAGATAGAATGATTTTTCTTGCCTATGTACCAATGTGTAATATCCATCTCTCCTCATAAGTCTAGCAACTAAAAGAATAAAGTGGGCTCTATACCTACTACACATAGTTTCCTGAGGAAAATTAATGCTGCTAAAGACTGGTTACATAAGTTACCTGTTGGGTTTATCTCCATCAAAGATAATTAAGTGGACACAATTTAGCATGTAATTCAGTTAATTATGTTTTTTTCTAAACAAGATAATAACCACAGCAACATTCTTGTTATTCATTGTTTAGACTTCTGGCAACCTTCTAAAATTATAGTTTTCAACAGAGGCAATGATAAAAAATCTCAAGAGGGAGACAGTTGTCAATAAAGCCTGAGGTTTTTATTTCATAAAAGAGTCATAATTGCCCTGTAGCTTATCACAGTACCACTTACATAACCGGAATGAGATAAAATACATTATGAAGAAGGACATACTGGTAAGACACAAACCCCACTGACGTAAGAAGGACTAGGAAATAAGCCATGTTCTGTTTGTTACTAGTTTTTAAATGACACAGATGACTGGAACAACTTAATGAAGAACAAATAACCAAATACTCAGGAAGGATGTATGATACTGTATTATAGTTTAATAAGTAACACTGAGTTGAGCCGGTCTTCAGGAAACAAATATATTCTGTTAATAATTTGTTTTCTCATTCCAAAAAAGGATTTAAGTCAGCATTCTATATTTGGTTTGTAAACATTTTCCCTAAATAGTATACTTCAGGAAAATTATCAAAAATTCTTAAAGCTTAAAAAAAAAAAGTATGGGAGCTTTTAAATAAAAGTTTAGTATAAAAATGTTTTAATATATTGAAAATAAAATAAAAAACAAAAAGTTGAAACTAAACTTTTCTTTTTCTTTTTTTTTTGGTCAGTCATGGGGCTTGAATCCAGTCCCTGAGCTCTTTTGCTCAAGGCTAGCACTCTACCATTTTGAGACACAGCTCCACTTCCAGTTTTCTAATGGTTAATTGGAGAGAAGAATCTCATGAACTTTCCTGCCCCAGCTGGCTTTAAACTTCTATCCTCAGGCCGGGCGCTGGTGGCTCACACCTGTAATCCTAGCTACTCAGGAGGCTGAGATCTGAGGATCGCGGTTCAAAGCCAGCCCGGGCAGGAGAGACCGTGAGACTCCTATCTCCAATAAACCACCAGAAAACCGGAAGTGACGGTGTAGCTCAAGTGGTAGAACGCTCGCCTTGATCTGAGGAGCTGAGGGACAGTGCCCAGGCCAGAGTTCAAGCCCCACTACCGACAAAAAAAAAAACTTCTATCCTCAGATCTCAGCCTCCTGAGTAGTTAAGATTACAGGCATGAGCCACCAGTGCCTAAACTTTTCATAATGACTCTTATTGAATATTTTATTAATTCTAGCTATAAACCTTAGCAAAGTTTATGCAAAAGATACTAAGTATAAAGTATATATGCATTTCTCCTATTAAATTTTAAACTATTAAACATCAGTAAATCACACTGGTGCCTACTTTTCTCTCTTCTTCCTTCCTTCTCTCCTTTGACACTAGGTCACTATGTAGCCCAGGATAGCTTTGAATGTAATACCTTCCTGTCTTGAATTACAGGTGCATTCCACCATACCGAACCGTAGTTTTCCCCATTTAATTCTAAGGTTCTCTCTCAAGTTTTAGCATATAATTTTCCATATGACTAGCTCGGGGAGCTGCTTATTTCTTTTGCCCTGCAACTTTGGGGCTTAGTTGCTCTAAAATCAGTTATTTTCTATATAATCCACAAGAGAGAAAACTAGGTACACTAATAGCTTTACAATAATTTAAATTATCAAGAGTACTACTCTATAAATTTTAACCTCCTCTACTCTAGTTTTTGTTTTTGTTTTGCCAGTCTTGGGGCTTAAGTTCAGGACCTGGGCACTGTACCTGAGCTCTGTACCTGTGCTCAAGGCTAACACTCTACCATGTGAGCCACTGCACCACTTCTGGCTTTTTCTGTTCATGTGGTACTGAAGAATCAAACCCAGGGCTTCCTACATACTAGGCAAGCATCCCAGCCTACTCTACCTTTAATTTTACTTAAAGAATGAGGCTGACATGGTAATGCACACTTAAGAGGTTGACACAGGAGAACGGAGGGCTTAATGCTGGGCTATACAGGACTCTGTTTCAAAAGGAAAAGCAGGGAAAGAGCAAAGGGAAAAGAAAATGGGTAAAGGAAAAAAGGAAAAGGGAAGAGAGGAAAAATGGAGAGGAAAAATAAAAACTGAAATATTTAAAAAGTAAAAGCTGAGTTTATTAACTATTTTCACAGTTTCAATAGGTCATATTCTAAATTTAAGTAGCAGATCAAAATGCAACACTTTGTAACAAATTAACTCTAATAAGCAATATGAATCTGGATATATAACTAATTCAGAACTGACCTGATTTACTAGTTCCTAAAAGTGATCAAAATATACAAAAATTATTTTATGGTCCAATTTTAATTCTCACTAAAATTTTAACTGTGTTATTTTAGAAAGGAGCTCTGCTTGTCATGCATTAATTTAGTGAGATTTGGTTTTACATGAAACTTCTCAGACCTATATTCTCAATCTTTTTTCTTCAAAGCCAAGAAATAACTACTAACTCTTTGCTGTAATTACAAGTATTTTATGTATATGGTATTTCTTTCCTAGGTTAAATGCCACAAAAAAAACAAGAAAAATTATTCAAAATTTTGTTTTGACTCAGGGTTTGATATATCATAAATAATATACAATAATAAAATACACTTTGTACATTGTTTTAGTTTAAAATTTCATTATCTGAAAAAGAATTAAAGACACTACTTTACTGGAAAATCCTACCACCAGTTCTTTCCCCCAACTCTACTCATCCCACCTCCCACAAAAAAAAAAGGTGGGAAGGAGGAAGGGAGGAAGGGAAGGAGGGAGGGAGGGAGGGATGGAGGGAGGGAGGAAGGAAGGAAGGAAGGAAGGAAGGAAGGAAGGAAGGAAGGAAGGAAGGAAGGAAGGAAGGAAGGAACCTTTAACAAGCAATACAAATGTGTGGATGAGTCACCCGTAACTTCAGAAACTTACCCTGATATATCAGAATAGATTGCAGTATCTACAAAGTATGTTGGCAAGAGATGAAAAACCAACAGCAAGATGGCCTTGCAGCCTAAACCCTGGGTGAGCCACAAGTCTAAAACTGCAGGAATCGCCGCCCAGTACGTTCCCAGAAATGGCACAGCTCCAAGAATTGCAGCCAAAGCTAAAAGAATTACAAGAAAAGGCAACTTCACATTGTCGTCAAAACAGGAAGACAACAGCAAAATCTAAGCACTATCTGCTCCCTCTTAAAAAATATCCTCCCAAACAATTAAATATTCACAGACTCTATTTTCAGAAGAATGATACACCCTTTCTAGTTGGGTTCTGGTCAAATGAAGGTCTAAAACTTTATAACTTTTTATCAGAAATCCTTCTCACATGTATATCTATTTTATGAATCTGTTCTTATGTAATAATATCTTAGTGTCCTGCAGCTATTTTTCTGAATCAATGATTAGTTAATAATAGTCTTATAGTAATCCAGCATGTCTAAAACTGTACTGATTCCAAGGCCAAACCAAAAATTAGTTTCTAAACCTCAGAGATGAATTTATACTTTGTTTCTAGTAAATGACAAAAATAAACAAACAAAAACAACAAAAACTTTCAGCAATGAACACCCAAGTGTTTTCTCCTCCCGTCCCCCTCCCCTTGATCTATCTGGTTTCCCTCCAGATTGAAAGTCAAGCAGGCATGAACTTAGGTCTGGTCCAAATATTAACCATGTGTATGATCTTGGAAATGTTTGGATTCTCATCTATACAACAAGAACTATACCATTCTGTTGCCAGTTCCCAGGAAGTTCTAAAATAACCACCACAGATATTCTTAGGAGAGGATCAAAGAGGTACAACAGCTAGGTGCATCTGATCATATAATAATATATATTGGAGTGAATTCCAAGAAATGGAAGCAAGAACGTTTTTTTTCTTTGTTGCTGTTTTTGTTTTCTTTTCCCTTTGTAAATTTATCTGTCTTTGGGAGGGAAAGTGGAATAGTGATACTCACTAGACACTATGTTGAAAATGAACTATACAACTTGTGCGTGGGACAGGAGGGAAAAACTGAGAGAGAGCAAGGGAAAGGGTGACACTGTAATCCCTCCGTACATCACCATTACAATAATTTAAAAAGACAAAACAGTGGTTTTACTATCATAATTAAAGTTGCTTTCCAAAAACAAAATAACCTCCATATGTTTTCCAGGGGCTTTCATGTCAGAGGTTAGGTGAATGAACAACTAAAGTGGGAAAGAATATGAATGCACTTGGGAACATAAAGAAGAGGAAGCCAGGCACAGTGGCTCAAGCCTGTAATCCCCACCATTAAGGAAGCAGAGACCAGGAGGATTAGGACTCAAGGCCAACTCAGGCATATATTAAGACTCCATCTCAAAAAAAAAAAAAAGAGCAAGCCAAGCATGGTGGGTTGCATGCCTGCCACTTTATCTACGCAGGAGGCAAAGACAAGTCAGCCTAGACAAAAATGTGAGAACCTATCTCAAAAGTAACCAAAGCAAAAAAGGTCATGGCTCATGTGGAAGAAACACTATGAGTGAGCAGTATGAGACCCTTAGTTCAAACCACAGAGCCATCAAAAAGAAAAAGGAAATAAGAAGGAGGAAGAGATAAAAGTAGATGAGTGATGGTAAAGGTAAATGGAAGGCAGAGATATTTAGAAAAACAAGCAACAGAACAAAAGGAAGAAAAGGTGGACAACATTAAAAAAAAGCAAGATATTTATTTACCAACTGGTCTTATGGAATGGGGATATCATTATGAAAACAGATCATAGCAGGTTTGGGTATATATGTTCAGCTTACTGCTTTCACACACAACATATTACCCCTGAGATACTATCTCTTATGTGAGAAAAGGTATTTTGGCAACACACTGTTCCTTTCCAATTCATTTACCCAGGGCCAATTATGTGCCAAATTCTAGAGCATTCATTTAACAAATACATTAGCATTGCTTTCTTGTACTAGGTCTGGTTCCAGCTACCAAGAATATAGTAAAAACTATTTCTACTCCTAATCTAGACTAAATATCTAGACTATATTTGAGGAAGCTGGCATTTCCTAACATAAAATGGCCTAATTTAAATAAAGGACAATGAAGTTACCATTGTTACCTGATGGAATGAAGACAATGTTGATGCCAAATATAGTATGAGTCAGCCAGGTGTACAATCCATAGAAGCCCGCCATTTTGAGGGAAGCATCAAACACCCCTCTAGAAGGCCAAAGACAAAGGAAAATGTAAATAAATTTGGCATTATATTATGATTCAGAAATATCAATACTTCTAATTCTGGCCTCTTCATTCCAAACCTGGCAATAGCCTTAATTCTTTTATGGGTCTGAGAACATTATTTCAACTTTATTAAAGGAAAATAAGAGCTTATTTTAAATTCATGAAATGTTTACTAAGCTGTCCTTAATAAAATTTTCACTGATGAAAAGACAATTGAAATACCTTAAATACCCTACCCACTTCTGAGGCAGATATTTCACCTGTTATGACCGTATTTCATGAGTATAAATAGGATATTCAAAGAGAATTCAATTCTAATAAAGAATTCAATTCAGAAGGAACAAGGGAGACTGTGGTGTAGCTTAGCATGGAAGCAGTCCTAGGTTCAACCCTCAGAAAAGAGGGAGAAAGGAAACAGGGGGAGAGCAGGGTAAGTAAGTAACTTATATTTCATCAATCTCTCTGATTAACAAAATTTACACATTTATTTAACTCTGCAATTAAGTCTACAAAGTAACTTCTCCCACAATAGATACTAACAGCACAGGTCACTAGGGGTAATTCATGATTTAAAAGATAAGAACAATAACATATTTTTTAACTCAAAAACAGACATATTCAATTTTCAATACAGGAATTCCGCATATAAGTTCTATAACAGGCACTTTATTTTTGCTCTTCAGTATAGAAATTAATTAGCATGATGTAAGTAAGGGACAAAGCTTAAGTAACTCCAAAGTATTATAACAAAGTATTATAACTGCAGGACAAAGCAAAGCTGAAGTTGAAAAAGCAGAGAATGTGGCAGCAAAGGTGACATCTAACACATACAAGGAAGGCAAACAAAATCTCTAAAAGTATGCTGAGAGCAGTCAAGTGCTGCCATCAGACCCTGAGGCATGAATTCGGAGTCCAAGGCCTCCCTGAATGGCTATCCTGACCAACAGCTTTTTCACTCAAGAATGTTTTATATGCCATGAGATGCCTTCCAACAAGACTGAAGTAGTATAAAAAGACAGAAGGAGCTATCACAGAAAACAAAAAAGGGAAGTGGTGCTGTGGCTCAAGTGGTAGAGCACTAGCCTTGAGCTGAAGAGCTGAGGGACAGCGCCCAGGCCCAGAGTTCAGGCCCCATGACCAGAAACAGCAAAACAAAACAAAACAAAAAAGGTCCTCCAAGCAATTAAACAGGGGGGGGGGCAGGAATGACAGAACTTCAAGCGTTAACTCTGATAAGAAAACAACGAGAAAACAATGGCAGAACAAATTCAAAGACTGAGAAGGGGAGAAAGGCTCAAATGGAAGAGGAATGAACAGGGATGTAGGTTTAGTCTGGAGAAATCTGTCAACAGGAGTGATGAAAGCATCCCAGAAAAAGCTGAAACCAGAGACAAGCCTTAACAGAAAACAAAAGATGTGAAATGCATCAGAATGGATTAAGTATAGAAAAGGTAAGATATACTTGAGGGACAATAGGCTGTGTCTGATAAGGGACTAAGAACAAAGATAGCCTCAGATGGAATGGAATCATGTCTGTGGAAGGAGGAAAATCAAGAAAACAGAGTCCAAAGGAGAAATTGCTGAGAAACAGGGAATAATAATGTCAACTATTTGAGAGAAGTGTTGCCATGGAATCTGTCTAGAATTAGGGAGAGGCCATAATGCAAAGATACAGATGTAGCACTTGTACTATCCTTACTTAGAAATTCTTATAGCAAAAATAAAGTGCTATCAAATATGCAACTGTATGGCAATTAACAGCCCAGTCTTTTTTCTGCCTCTGGGAATAGGGTTATAATGTCTCATTAAGACAAATTTCAATTAATTTTGCGGACATTAAATGCACTGTGTATTGTGTGTAGACAGTAGGTATGTTTATGCAACCTAATTAGGGTTGGAAAGATAATGTATTCCTCTCTAATGAGTTATGAACTGGCATCCAAGATTTATACAACGGCAGAGAAAAAAATCTCTCTGTGAATCTACTAGAGTAATTTTTGCCTTCTTGCCTGCCTTCCTTCTTTCCTCCCTTCCTCCGTCCCTCCCTCCCTCCCTCCCTCTCTCTTTTGCTGTATCAAGGATTAAACTCAGACCCTTTATGCATTGGTTATTTTTAAGAAGTCTGTTTCATTTATGTCCAGGCCAACATGGCCTATGATCCCTTACTCCTGCTTCCCACTGCCCCTAGAGATGTTAGATAGGTGCCACCGCACAAAACTACTGTCCTCACAGGTTGGATAACTGTCACATACCACCACACCCAGCCATTGGCTGAAATGGAGCCTCACAAGTTTTTAAGCCTAAACTGGCCTCAATTCCCCAATCTCCACCTCCCAAATAGCTAGGATTAACGACTTGAGTCACCATGCCCAGGTAGATCTCCCCACCTTTGGTCATTTGTGGTATTTGAACTCGGGGCCTGGGCACTGTCCCTGCACTTTTCTGCACAAGGCTAGTGCTACACCATTTTGAGCCACAGCTTCACTTCTGGTTTTCTGGTGGTTCATTGGAGATAGATTCACAGACTTTCCTGCCTGGACCGGCTTTGAACCACGATCCTCAAGATCTCAGCCTCCTGAGTGGCTAGGATTAAAGGTGTAAGCCACAGACACTCAGTCTGGCTAAATTTTTTTTTTTTTTAGCATCATGTTCCTCACATTTTTCTCTTGGTTTTATATATCAGTTTTATATAAATAAAACTCACCAAAATTAAGAGTGTGAATAAATTTAACCTATGACATAATTATCACTACATTTAGGACATTTCCATCACCCTAAAAGTTTTTGTACATTCTTTTAAGTTCTCTTTGAAAACCGACAACCTGTGGGTGTTTGACTTCACAACCTCTGGGTGTTTCATTTAAATTTTCCTTTTCTAGAATATCATATATCAGCTTTTTTAAAAATCAAGAAAAAAATCAGTGACATTTATCATGTAATTATTCTAGTGTACAGTTCAGTAATGTTACATAAATCCCACTGATATTTTGTAACTTTAGGTGCTCAGTCTTCTTGCAGTACAATGTTTCACCCACACTGGTGTACATACTGTATGACTACATTGTTCCTTTTGACTCAGAGTAGTGCTCCATTACATGAGTACACTACAATTCATTTACTGACTCATCAGCTGATGGGTATTTGGACTATTTCCAGTTTTACTGCTGTTATAAGTACTGCTGCTACAAGCATTCAAATGAATGCCTCTATTCTTCTTTAGTAAATATCTGCAAACACAATTACTACATGATCTAGCAATCCCACTTCTACATATATCCAAAGGAACTTAAAACAGTATGCCAAATACAGAATACTCATGTATTCCATATTTATTGAAGCACTAACTGGCAATAGGACAGATATGAAATCAGCCTAAGTTGATAGATAACTTGATAAAGAAAATGTGGTTGTATATACATACAAAGGAAAACTATTTATTCTAAAAAAATGGAAGTCTGCATTTGCAACAACAGCCAAACCTGAAAGACATTACACTAACTGAAATAAGACAGGCTCAGAATAGCAGTTCTGAATCACAGGTGAAATCTAAGAACTGAACTTAAAGTAACATAGAATAGACTGGTGATTACAGAAAATAGGAGATGAGGAGACTGTCAAAGGATGTAACTTTTTATTTACAAAATGAGTATGTTCGGGAGGTCGACTGTGCAACATTGGTGTCTATAGCTGGAGAAACCAACTAAGTAGATCTTAAATGTTTTTTGTTTTTTTTTTTTTTGCGTCCAGTCGTGGGGCCTGAACTCTGGGCCTGGGTGCTGTCCCTCAGCTCTTCAGCTCAAGGCTAGCGTTCTACCACTTGGGCCACAGCACCACTTCCGGCTTTTTTCTTTTTGCTTATGTGGTGCTGAGGAATCGAACCCAGGGCCTCATGCATGCAAGGCAAGCGCTCTACCACTGAGCCACCTTCCCAGCCCATAGATCTTAAATGTTATTACAACAAAAATAGTACATGCGAAAACGAATATATTACTTAGGTCATTTAAATAATTTTACAATGTATACAATATATCAAAACATCACACTGTATACATAAAATACACACAACATAAAATACACACATGCATATTTGTGTGTCTGTGTGTTTAAAATATAAACATCACGAGAGATGGAGTTCCTAGAATTAGTGGTGCTGGATGCACACTACACTAAAAACTACTGAATAATATGAATAAAGTAGTGAATTTTCTTTTACAAAAGTGGGAGTCAGTAGAAACTGAAAAGACAAAAAGAAGTGTCCTTCACATCCTCCAGGAAGAACATAGCCCAGATGATATCTTTTTTGGAGGACTTCTAACCTCCCTGACTAGAAAATGAAACATGTAGCCGGGTGCTGGTGGCTCACACCTGTAATCCTAGCTACTAAGGAGACTGAGATCTGAGCATCTCAGTTCAAAGCCAGCCTGGGCAGGTAAAGCTGTGAAACTCTTATCTCCAATAAACCATCAGAAAAGGGAAGTGGCACTGTGGCTCAAGTGGTAGAGCGCTAGCCTTGAGCTGAAGAGCTGAGGGACTCATATCACAGTTGTAGCCCCATGACCAACAACAAAAAAAAAGAAACATGTTGCTGAAGTTACAAGTTTATAGCAATTTTTTTCCAACAAGAGGAAACAAATACAGCTTGTTGTGTGCCAACCACTGGGTTATATACTTTGTATATTCAAATGGCATACAGGTAATTTACTTCAAACTACAAAGTATATATCAAACAAGCAACAGTCTAAAACTGAGCACATAATCAATCAGTCATCTATCAGCATCTGAGACTAAAATCCAGAGTATAAGATGGGATGTAGCTCAGCAGCAGAGGGCTTGCCTAACATCAGAGGCCCTGAGTTTCATCTCCAGCATTACAAAGCAAAACAAATCTGTATTTAAAGCAATGTGGTACTCACCAGTGAATAAGCAAACACTCCGGTAAAACACAATACAAAATCAGAAGTAAAACAAAACACATTAAT